GTTTGTTTTTGTGATCGAAACTACTAAAAGCGATGATTAAACTATTTTTTAATTCATTATTATGCGGGCATAGGCCCAATCAAAAATTTGCCTTGCTCCCTCCGTTAAAAATTTGCTGCCCCGCTAGCACGGAAGCAACCGAAAAACATATAACCGATTTTTGTACATTTAGACTTTTGTACACTGTTTTTATATTGATAAAACTCATAAATCATAACTCTAATTGAAAAGCTTACTATTATTGGCACCCTTACTTGTTTCCTAGTTCTACTGCGACCGCTATCGATTCGAAATAGGTGGCAATTTTCGCCTTCCGCCGGCCTGGCCTTGAGCTGCCCGCCAAGCTCGCATAACATTTTTTGAAGCAACCGACGCTCTCGGTTATCTTCCAGCTAAAAAAACGTCGTGGTTGCGTACGGAATGAATGAACCTACGGACTGTTGGTCGACTTCGGCGTAGAGCAAAACCAGGCGGCTTCTGTCCGCTTCTGGCGGATGCTGGAAATACAGGGTGTCCCAAAAAAAAGAGCAAGCAGTTTGAGGAGCAAACAATACGTGGTATTCATGCGATAAGAAGTTTGCAATTCGAATCTATAGAGCTTGTAATAGACAACAGAGGTTTTTTACACAGACAATTTTATTTAACTGAAAAACACAGAAATTTTTCGTTAGTTCGAGGAGTGTTTGATAGATGGACCTTGTACAGAATTTTAAGTTGTATCGAATATAGTGATCTTTTTGTAGGCGACATCGAAGCATACCGAAAATATACAGTCGTTGATCAGGTACCGCATTGTCTTCAGTAATTGGCCCACTTTTTCCGGAAAACGTGTGCGTTGACCGAGAACAAAAAACGGAAAGGCAGCCATCTAAAATACAGAATCACATAGGATCAGATCCCGTTATGTATTAGTTTAGATTAGAAACGATTGCTATTTCTTCCTATTTTTTCCTGTTTAATGCGCACTCCTTCTAGCTCCTATCAATCCTTGAAGTATTTTTGAGGAAATATGAGGCAAGGAGAAAAAATTTTGAGGAAAGGAAAGCGAAGAAAACTGCGCGAGGTTCCAACATATCGCTTCGTAAAAAAATCGAAGATTTTTGAACCTAATTTTTCCCATCTGACAAACGCTCAAAATTGATGCCGTTTCCGACGCTATAAAAAGCTTCAATTTTTCAATTTCGTTTTGTCCGGATAATACTGAGACACCCTGTAGATACCGTATTTCATCTAATATAACCTCCGGGGTTATATTTGTTTAATCACCCGTAAGGGAGGGGTTGTTTTAGAGGGGGGAGGTGGTTATAATAGAGGGCTGGGCTTATATTTTTCTCGGGTGCAAAATGGCCGGATTTTGACCAAAAACACAATTTTTTTCGCTGTAGGAAGCCTAAAAGCGCTGAAAATCGCAGTGGCACGCATAAACGTCACATTTTTTCGAATTTTTTGGCTCCTGTCTTCCGACAGTGCATATTTAAGCAAAAACCAGGGTTGAAAAGCCGCTTCGCGACTTTTCAACCCTGGCCCCGTCTAGAACCCCATACTATTCTGCCCTTTGCATAATTGTTCTCCATCCAGCAGACAAAAAATGAAAAACAACCCCTTCTGCCTCTTTATATAGACGGCCGCCCACTTCCGGTCTATGCTAATTATTCCTAACAAAGAGGTTTTTACAAAAACCCTAAATTTAATAGCCAAAATGGCTCATTTTTAAAAGTCTGATATGTGTGCATTCATCCCTAGACCATTACGCACCTAATGACGTATCATACGTAGCCCAATACCCGTCCCTTCTTGAGATATCCTCCGGACAGCCACACGGAAGTGGATGCAAAGTGGCACACACACACACAAACACTATTTTTTTATATATAGTAGGATATAGTAGGATTTCGGGGGTGGGGGGTTATTAGAGGGGGGCGGTTATAATAGAACACCTTATCAGACCGAAAAATACGACAGACCTGTCTCGAAACAGCTGCAAGCTGAGCGTAGATAGTCGAATGTGGAGAAAATCGGAAGTAGATTGTGTACCAGACCTACAAAAATTAAGGTATCGCTCGTTCGGGACGCTAACGAAAATTCTGTCATAATGACATTCTCCGCTTACCCATGTGGGATTACAAGATACGAGCGGGGACCACGCCCCGATGATGTCGTTGTCCGGCAATGGGTCCAGGCTGAAATCTCAAATATGATACTTGTTGAAAATACGTTCAAAAAATAATTCAACGAATCTCCAATGCTAGGGTAGCGTGCAGAGGCAACCGTCGAATCGTTTTAGCTCCATAGCACTTGGACCATAAAACCCCCTTAAAGGGATGCCCAACCTTTTCGGGGCTCAAAAAGCAAAAACCACGCCGCGGGCGGGGGTCGAACCCGGGACCCCCGCCCTAGATGGATGCTATCATGCTGGATGCTATCCATTAGGCCAGAGTGGCAAGCCATTGCGTGGGGTGGGGACGCCACAAGAGGGAAAGGTGTCCGAATTCTGTGCGGCAATGGCGCCCCATTGCCGCACAAAATTCGCGCGTCTTTTGTGCTGCCCGGAATCCATAACTATATATTTGCCTCCAAAACCTTGGGTATCCCTTTAAATCCACTACCACAACTACCCTTCAATCGTAAAGTAAAGGGTATGGGCAAAAACCTGCATTCCTTGTTCGACACCAATGAAATAATCTCGACGTAGCCCTGGCATTAGGTCCTGATAGATCACCGGCCACTGAAGAATATTTTAAACGTAATAATATAGTGACTCGAACGGATTTATATCGCCTTTCTACAGCTATCTCTCTCTCTATCTCTCTCTCTCTTTCTCTCTCTTCCTTTCTATCTCTCTCTCTCGCTCTCTCTGGTTCTCTCTATCTCTTTCTCACTCTCCCTTCTTTCGCTTCCTCTCTCTCTCTCGCTCTCTCTATCTCGCTCTCTCCCGCTATCTCTCCTCCGTCGCCCTCTCCTCTCTCGCTCTTTCATCTACAAATCGCTTTGTGTTTAGTCTATCTTCAGTTCTGCGCACTTTTTTCTCAAACCATGCGTGTCGTATTTTGATGGGTGCGGCTGGCAGAACTGCGTTAAATTTGTGGAGCACTTGCCGTTGCGACTCGAAGTTAAGCCCTTCGATTAGGTATTTTGTGTACGGGTTGGCTCTCCTGAAATACAGTTTCCGCATGGAAAAAGCGTAATCACCTACGGGCTGCCACAACATGAGCATTTCTTCTCGCCTAGCTTCTCTTCTCTTGCCCTGATGCAAAGGCAGTCAATGGCGGCCGCACATCCCTTTTGGCACTCCGTCCACCCGAAACAATCGTCACACCTGGGGGAAACTCTTTCAAAATTTGGTTAAGTCCTTCAGCTTTACTTTGACCGCAAAGTGATCTATTTTGCCTTATTTTCAAAGTTTTTCATTTCGCTGGCTTGCAATGCGGATAATCTGGCAAATTCTGGACCAAATTCGTTGAAAGAGTCATTTGTAATGAAGGGATGTTGATGATTGGATGGAATATCAGAAGGTTCGGGGACATTCCCCACCAATGTGGAAATTTCAAGTAGATTGGGCGCAAAATGGCTAAATGCCGCCTGTGTCTTTTTTTGGACACCCTGCAGAATCGACGGAGGTCCTTGCGCGTTCCTTTCCGGGCGTGTCTTCTTGGCCAATGGAGCCATGGTGACGACGGATTTTTGAAATAATGCAAAAACCCCACCAATGCGTGTTCTCAACCCGAAATCCGCTACAGTGATTTCCATGATGATCGTACTGCAGGGTCAGCTGCACCGAGTCCAGCCATTGTCCTTTAACAAACAGCAAATATTTTGCGAATCGCACGAATCGACCAACCATCGATGACCTTTCTCCTCACCTCGAAGCAGGTGCCATATGGGTCGAGCATGGCCTGAAAATCCTTATTCTTTCTTTCTTGAATAATTTTTAATTTCCTGCTCGACGGCGCGATCGAGAAAAGTGGCAGACGCAGAGATCCGGCACGAATTGAAAACCTCCTCGACTTGCCGACTTTCAAGCCTATCTTTCCAAATTATTTTTAGTTTTCGTCGTTTTTTGACTCAAAGGCAATGTATTCGTACCAATTTGACGACGGCGAACATTTTGGTATACTTTACAACTCACTAGCACAAAGCGGCGGGGGGGGGGTCAAGACACGAGAATTGCGGGGTTCTGGACTGGTAGCGGGGGGGTGGACTTTTTGGCAGGCGCAAACCAACTTTTTTCCACTAATTCCGTACGGGCCTATAACGAAATCCTAAGCAATTTTTATATTTTAACTGGGTTAAGATAAAAATGGTTCACAAAAAAAAAATTTGTAAAAATTGCTGCATTTTTATGACTTTTGGTCCAAAATGTACGAAAAGTGGTGGTGGTGGGCAACAAAGGTAAAAGTTTTCAAGGTTGGAAATTTAAAAAAATATTTTTTTTATACTGCTAACAATCAAATACCACGAAAAACACTCGAAAATACGTGATACACTATCAACATGTAGGATATATATAAGGATCTCAGTGATTTGTTTGATAATCGGCGTTTTTCACAGTTGTTTTTGGTGAGAAAAACAGCGTTTGAGATTAAGGTTGTCCCGCTGGTTTTTAAAAAAGACGTTGATGAAACACCGTGTTGTTTTTTATTGACCGGAGGGAACGATTGAGTTTGCGTGCGTCCGAAACCAACACTTTTCTCGCAGCCAAATCTGATGCGCGTTAGTCGACCGCAGAGGTAAAATTTGCAGGCCGGCCATGTCGAGAAGATCTGGAGAAATCGAGCGATTCAAAGCGCTTGAACTCTGGATAACACTTCGGAAACTTCTTTCAAAAACGCCATACCACGCTGCAGCATCGGAGGTGAACCTTGAAGAGGAAGTCGAGGTGGCGCAAAACGGATTGCTGCATCTCGTGCCGTAGCTTACGGAAGTCGATTCGGTAGGCCGGCATCGCAGGGTGTCTGTAGCCTAAAACACTGGTGGAAAATCGGAACCGTAAGAGGTAGGGACCGTTGCGGCGTAATTCGCGCGGAAGGCCCCGGCAGAAAATGCATACCTATGAATTTTCGGACGGCCATAAATGTTCCGTTAATTCTCCCGGGAGAAACTCGCACGTTTGAACGACTAAGCGCATTAAAGGAGATGAGAAGGCATCTGTTGATCCCCCGTCTGGGGCGGGGGCAGCAGCTGTAAAATTGCCAACCAGGGGAGAGAGGGCGCCCAGCCGAGAGGCGCAGAGAAATCCCCTATTCCCGGCGGGTACCCGCTTGACATATGCCCGCACTACTCCTTTCATGCACTGAACGCCAGGCCGAACTCTATGATGATTTCGGTGATTTCGGGGGTAGAGCCAATTTTTTTTCGGAACGAGCCTAAATTTTTTTATAAATAGCGGATGCGTTTCTAAAGTATTTTTAACTATTCCTGAGCATAAAAACTACACGCATCTTGACTAAAAAATGTAATTTTAGGTCGCAAAATCCGATAGAACCCTGAGGATTGACGGGGGGGGAGACCAAATTTTCGACTTTTTCAAACATATTTCTAATTTCTTTGAAAGTTTTTCTCCTTTAAATATAGTTAAAATTTGCTAAGAACAAAGTGCTTATATTTAATCACTAGGTTAACCGGGATCGCCAGGAAAACATTGGTTGGAAAAAAATTGGAAAAACTAACGAAAACGCGTCGGACCACGGCTACCTTGTCAGAATTGCTTAAAGATGCTGGGTATGCTAGATAAAGAAATACAATAAAATAAAGACGGGTCACTTTTTACGATTTTTGACGACTCGTTACGAATTTTTCAAGTGCTTAAAAAAATAGAAAGCTTTCAGAGGAAAATCATGGGTATTCTGATGAGTTAGGGGCCATGCGCTAAGAAACGCATGGTAAACACTATTGACCGGATGAACTGACCGTCGATAGGAGCATCCGGAAAAACGGCAAAATTCAAGATAAAATTTTCCTCTCATCCGATTTACCTGATATTTTGAATGTAGCAATAATTAATTGCGTGCACACTTTTGGCCGACAAAATGCAAGATCGCCAACAAAAATATAGTAATGTTTATTTACTCCAAAAAATCGTTTTGTAAAACATGCGACCACAGGATAAGAAACAATTATCAAAATATACACTAACAATGGCCGGTATCCACATCCACATTTATCCATGCATCAATCGGTAATTCCATTTCGGCAAGCATTCGTTCTATTTACTAGCATTGATTTGCATAGACAACGCCGATAGGTTTGCAAAAAAAATCCTTCTCAAACACAACTTTGGTAGACGGAAGGTGGGTTGTTTCAGGTGAGTTGAGCAAAGATACGCCTTCCTCAAGACTACAATCCGATCACAATTTTTTGCCTATTTCTGGGGGAGGAGCGACCAATTTTTTTCTGGATGCTTCGGATTGTCCTAGCAGTCGAATATAAAATGTTTTTATGGCTTGCTTTGGAAATTTTCTTCCCCGGAATAAAAAGTTGTCTCTCTTTTCAAGATGTCGTTTCCAAAATGTCGAAAATCATAATGTCGAAATTCAGAATGATGTAATTCATAATGTCGAAATTTACATAGGCAAACATCCCTGGGAGAAACCCCCCGAATTCTAAGCAAAAAAAATTTCGACATTTTGAATTTCGACATTATGATTTTCCACGTCATGATAGCAATTCGACAAAAAATAATGGCTCTTGCTACGGTAATTCAACGGTACATCTTCGACGAAGCAGCACAGGATGGGCTGCAGGTAGGTGGTGTCCGCCTCTTCCGCGAGGTGCTGGAGCAAACGTTAGCGACTCCAGTTAGCGATTCACCT